ACCCTACAGGTGTGGGGAGTGTGGGAAGAGCTTCAGTTACAACTCCACCCTCCTCACCCACCGTCGCATCCACACTGGGGAACGACCCTACAGGTGTGGGGAGTGTGGGAAGAGCTTCAGTTACAACTCCACCCTCCTCACCCACCGTCGCATCCACACTGGGGAACGACCCTACAGGTGTGGGGAGTGTGGGAAGAGCTTCAGCCAGAGTTTCAACTTCTTCACCCACCAGCACATTCACACTGGGGAACGGCCCTACACGTGTGGGGAATGTGGGAAGAGCTTCAGTGACAACTCCAACCTCCTCGCCCACTGTCGCATCCACACTGGGGAACGGCCCTACGTGTGTGGGGAATGTGGGAAGAGCTTCAGACAGAGCTCCCACCTCTGCAAACACCAGCGCATCCATGGGGAACAGCCTTACACATGTAGGGAATGTGGGAAGAGCTTCAGTGACAGCTCCACCCTCCGCAGCCACCAGCGCATCCACACTGGGGAACGGCCCTACAAGTGCTTGGAATGTGGGAAGGGGTTTCAGACCAGCTCAGATCTCCTCAGGCATCAGCGGGCACACACGGGGGAGAGGCCCTTCCGCTGCACTGACTGCGGGAAGAGCTTCAACCGGAACTCCCACCTTGTCATCCACCAGCGCATCCACACGGGAGAGAGGCCCTACAAGTGTGGGGAGTGTGGGAAGAGCTTCACTGACAGCTCTGCCTTCAACAAACACCAACGGACCCACCGGTAATAGAAGCCCTACAACTGCCCCGACTGCGGGAAGAGCTTCGGCCGCTGCTTCCACCTGAATGAACCCCCTGATTTGGAGGCAACCCCTGGAGTCCAGTGACTCAGTCCATCCCTTTCGACCACAAAGGGCCAGTCCCCTTTTCCAAGGGCAGGTTCTTCCAACAGAACCCTTCTTGGGGGGGTGTGTGGAGATTCCTGCCTTGGCTGGGGACCCCCCAAGGTCACTTCTGGAGGTTGAGGGCAGAGATCTCCCCACGAGCGTTGGTCTGGGGGAGTTCCATTCATCTCTAATTAAGAATTATTTCTTTTTGCCACCTTTAGTGGAATTGCTTCAACAATTGCTTTAGTGTAGAGCGCTGTCCTATCTTATCCTGTACTACTGGTAGTACTCCACCCACGTTTGCGCGCTGGTGGCTCAAAAGGCCAATACGAGATAGACAAGTCCAGTTGCAAAAGGCACAGCAGAAATACTTCTTGGATGGTATCGACAAGACACGATTCTTTCTGCATTGTCTTTTCTCCTTGAGAGTGAACCTGCGTGTGTTCTCAAAAGAAGCAGCAGCGTTATAGATGGTTTGTCTCCATACCTCCCGATTGGAGGCCAGAGTGGACCAGTGATGATGATCTATATGACCAAGGCTGAGATGTTGTTTCTGGGAGTCCTTGTATCTTCTTTTCGGGGCTCCTCTCTTGCAGCAGCCGGTGGCAAGTTCACCGTAAAGCAAGATCTTAGGGAGGCGATGGTTGGTCCTTCATCCTTAAAATGTGCCCTGCCCAATGTTCTCAGCAACATGGCCTCAATACTTGTGACTGCTGCTTGTTCTAGAACAGACACATAAGACACATAATCTGACCAGTGGATGTTTAGGATTGTGCAGAGACAGTGTTGATGGAAGCGTTCTAGGAGACGCAGGTGATGGCAATAAATGACCCATGATTCGGATCCATATAAAAGAGTAGACAGCACAATGGCTCTGTAAACACTGATCTTTGTGCTTTTCTTCAAGTGTTTATTACACCAAACTCATTTATGGAGTTTTCCAATAGCTCTCTATGCCTTTGCTAAACTGTTGTCTATCTCTTTGTCAATCCTACCGTCCAAAGAGATGATGCTTCCCAGATAATTAAACTGCTGGACCGATTTGAGCTCTGATTCGCCAATGGTGATATGGGGATGATGGAAGACTTCCTGAAGTGCAGGTTGATAGAAAACTTCTGTCTTCTTCAAGCTGACTTCCAGCCCAAAAAGCTCAGCAGCCTCTGCAAAGCAGGATGTTAAACGTTGCAGAGCTACTTCTTGTGTGGGTGACGAGGGAGTTGTTGTCAGCATAAAGCGTCTCCTGGACAAGATGATTTAAGGTCTTAGTGTGGGCCTTCAGTCGCCTTAGGTTGAAAAGGCTTCCATCAGTACGATATCGAATGTAGATACCGTTCTGATCATTGAGGTCTGCCGTGGCCCTTGGGAGCATCCTGCTGAAGAAGACTGTGAATAGGGTTGGTGCAAGAACGCAGCCTTGTTTCACACCATTGGTTATTAGAAAGGGCTCAGAAAGTGCACTGCCATATCTGACTTGGCCGTGTTGATCCTTATGGAGTGAGATGATCATTTTAAGGAACTTGGGGGGACAACCTAAACATTTCAATATCTGCCACAGACCTTTTCTGCTCACAGTATCAAAAGTCTTGGTGAGATCAACAAAAGTTACATAGAAACCTTTATTCTGTTCCCTACACTTCTCTTGCAGTTGTCTGAGAACAAATCCCATGTCTGGTACTCCTGTTGGCTCTGAAACCACACTGACTTTCAGGGAGAAGTTCTTCTGTTATAGCGGGTGTTAGTCTGTTCTAAAGTATTCTTGCCAGGATTTTGCCAGCAATGGAGAGCAGAGTAATACCCCAGTAATTTGAACAGTCTGATTTATCTCCTTTCTTCTTCTACAAGGTGATGATGACTGCATCACGAAGGTCTGATGGTAGTTCACCTAGTTCCCAACAGTGCACTACAAACTTGTGAAATTTAGCATGGAGTGCTTGGCCCCCATGTTTCCAGACTTCAGGTGAAAATCCATCAACCCCAGCTGCCTTGCCAGTTTTCACCTGCTGTATGGCCTTAAGGGTTTCTCCCATAGTAGGGGCAATATCCAATTAATTTTTCACCGGTTGTTGTGCAATGTACTGAATTGCTGAGCAAGGTGTGCTTGGTGGGCAGTTCTCTTCTTTACCAACAATTCCTGGATCTCTTGATTGTTTCCATCAAACCAGTCCTTGTTCTTCTTGAAGAACTCTAAGGATTCTTCAGAGGACTGTAGGATGCTATTTTTAATATGTTGCCGAAGTGTTTCAGGAGAGGGATCTGTGGAATGATTTTCAAGTCTAGTTTGAAGATTTACCTGGAATCTGTCTCTTACTGTGGGTGATTGGAGATTGTTAACTTGGAGTCTCCTCCTTGGAATACTGCCCCTTTTAGGTTTGAACTTAAAGTGGAAGTTAAGTTTACAACGCACAAGGCAACGATCTGTTTGACATTCTGCACTAGGCATCACTCGGGTATGACGAACACCGCGAACGTTTCTCTGTCGCACCAAAACACAGTCAATGAGGTGCCAATGCTTGGATCGAGGATGTGTCCAGGTTGTCTTCAAACTATCTTTCTGCTGAAAGATAGTGTTGGTGATGGTGAGCTGCTGCTCTGCACAAAACTCTAGCAGGAGGTGTCCATTATCGTTACAGTTTCCAACACCATGCTTGCCTAATGCTCTAACCTAACCCCCCTGCACCGCACACCCGTGGCTCTCCAAACAGGACTGCCGCCGGCCCTGGGAGCCCCCTCCCCCAAACGAGGCTGCCCCACCTACCCTCCCACTGGTCTGATGATCCCTCAGGCCCACCCCCCCCCCCCCGATCTCCGCCTGGCCTGGCCTGGCCCCACGACCTATCAACCGTCCAGCACGGCAGGGGCCGTGTTCCCTGGAAATCCATTTAGTCTCTACCCATAATGAAAAAGGCTATGAAAAACTGTTCTCCAAATTCATCAATTGGCATGTCTCTCCAGCTAAATTAGCACATGGTCCTAACCAAAATTCAGCAGAAGCTGCAAATGTTTTTTGTGGAAGCTGAGTCTAATTCTAGTGTCCTGCTCATGACTGGCATGAATACTTAGGAATGCTGTAAAATTTATTTACAAGCTTAAATTCATGTCCACCATTTTACAGTTTTCCCTTTTGCTATTGGGAACCCCATAAAAGACCTGATGGGATACAGCTGGGCACTTCAGTATGTGCTGCCAGGCATCAACTGCAACCTCCTCATGCTTTTTCTCCTTAGCTCTGCCAGAGGTTCCCTGGTGTCTGAGCAGTTGTAGGCAGAGCTCCTCCACCTGGACAGCCAGAAGAAGGCAAAGAGCAGCAGGAGGATTTCAGCAGGGACCCAGAACCACCAGTGCTGGCAGGCAGAGAGGAGCAAGCTCTCCTGGGAGATTGCGGGCTGCTCCTGGCTCCTCTGCTTCCTCTCAGCCAGCATCTAGCTCCTCTGCTCCATCTCAACCAGTACTTGGCTCCTCTGCTCCATCTCAAACATTTCTGACTCCTCTGCTCCCTGTCCTTCAGCATCTGGTACCTCTGCTTCATCTCAAACAGTGGTTGGCTCTCCTGCTCCCTCTCCTGCTCCATCTGCTCCATCTCTGGCAGCAGCCAAGCCATCTCCTGTCTCTGCTGCCTCTTATGATGGTACAGAAGATCTTGAGTGGTCTCTTCTCTCTTGTCACGTGCTCTCACCACACACAGGAAGATGCTCAGCACCACCAGGAGGTAAGCGAAGCTGCCAGCCATGACATGAACGATAACTTGTCTTTACAGTCACTTTGATTTTCTCAGGAAATTCCTAGAGCCTGACCTGCGTCATCCGATGGGGACGGGAGACCATGGGATGGTGGGGGTTCCCCTGCTCCGGCACTGCCGAGTGCATCTGGGACCCTCGCCGGGCAGGACCCTGCTAAAAGTCAGTGGGACCCAGGTGGCAGAGGACTGAGAGAGCCACAGACGGCCAACGTAGTGTCCACACTGTGGCAGTAAATCTGCATTATATGAGAAACTGTGGTTTAAACATGTTTCAAAATGGCCTTTTGTATTTCTGCGGAGTCACTGCTCCTTCTTCCTGACACCCTCTGTGAAGGACTCTTATCTCCCATGCAGGAGTGTCCTGGGAAGGTGTCCTGAGGTGTTCTCACTGGACTTTGTTAACCCCTTCCTGTTGGTTGTTAACCCCTTCCTGTGATTGGGTGTTCCTGTGAGCCCTTTGAGACTTCTAATTGGTTACTCTGTGAATCCTCCCAACCCTATAAATGTAACACCCCAACAGTAAAATCCCTCTCTTGCCTACTCTCCACACCCGGTGTGCTGTCTGTGTGTGGCTGCCATGGGACCTGGTGGTTTAGGGGAGGGGTGAGCAAGCTCTCCCCTCCAGCATCCAGGACCTGAAGAAACCCTTGGTGCTGGAGTTTTCCCCCTCCCTATCGACATTCAACCATTGGAAATGGTACCTCAGATGGAAATGGAACTAGAACTGGTGCGCCCCACACCATGTGGGTAAAGAGATCCAGAAGAGAACATTCATATCTTGGCCTGAACAACAGAACACAGTCAAGAACTGGGTGACCGTGTACCCTTTGTGCTCTGAAGATGGTGATGGTGATGAAGAGGTGGTCCCAAAAGCCCCCAGACCCAATTCCCAGAGGGGTGGGCCAGGGGGTAAGCCAGAGCAAAAGCAACGGGGTGGAAACACTTGGGACTGGACAGGTAGTATTATAAAATGTAACATCTCAGGCACAGCCGGTGCCTGTCCTGTAACATCTATGCTTTGGCACAAATTAAACCCTTTCCTTATCTCACCCTCCATTAACTGCTCCTGAGCTTTTTTTCCTTAGCATCAGCTGCACATGCATCAGCTGTTATGCTTGTTCCTCCAGTGACCACTGTGATTCTCGCCTTGCTTTGGTTCTTTCCTAGACATCCTATGACAAGTCTTGCCCAGTCCCCAAATCCCCTTTCTGACTGCCCATCATGAGTCTCAGAACCCGAGGCTGAATCCCTCATCCTCACCTGCAAGGTCACCCTGAGAGGTTCTGCCATTGACCCACTTGGTTACAATTTCATACAGATACCTTGGAACTTCCTTGGAATTAATTTGTTACCTTTTGGGCTTAGAATGACTTCTTCAAAAACATGGTAATTCATATCCTAGCAACAGAAATTCTTTGGAGAAGGAGTTTGGGACTTTACACTCAAAGAATCCCAGAATGGTTTGGGTTGGAAGGGAGATAAAAGGTCATCTGGTCCAAACTCGG